AGGCACCTTGAATAGGACAGAGAGCCCTGGACACGGGTCAGGAGGCATCATCTCTGAGTCCTGTTGATAGAGACAGGAGGCAGCCAAATGCCGAAGTAGATAAGGGTGGGTCCCCGGTAAAACCCCACTTTCAAACCAAAAAAACCGCCTGAAGGCTGAAAGACTGGACTGCTGGTCCCAGATGAAACCCATGACCCAGAGTGAGAACTTCTGTTCCTGTTTGCCCACCCTTCCCCTATTCTGAGCACATAAAAGCCCTGGATTCAGCCACACTGTGGGGGCTTTCCTGCCTTTGGGTAGGGGAACCACCCCCACATCCCCTGTCTGTGGAAAGCTGTTTCATCACTCAATAAAACTCCCCATCTTGCTCACTCTTCAATTGTCAGCGTATTCTCATTCTTCTTGGACGCTGGACAAGAGCTCGGGATCCACCAAGTGCGGGTACCCAGAAAGGCCGTCACACTAGCCTTTTACCCTCACCAGTGGAGGGCAGCTGCCCCACGCAATGCAGCCAGGGGCCAGCTGAGCTGTGAACACGCCACCGTCCATTGGGCTGTCGATGGTGGAACTAAAACAGCTAATTAGCACACTAACGCCCCCTCTGGGGCTTCGCGGTCATGGGTACCCCTGCCTGGGTGCTGCCATGTTCTACTCGAGGCAACACGCCTGGTCTGGCCACAGGCCCTGCATGGAGCTTGCTCCTGTGTCGCGTTTGGAGTGGTCAGCCAGACCCTATACTTGCTCGTTCATGTGCTTCCTCCCGCAAGGGGCTGAGTGTGGCAGACTGAGTATACGGGGTGCTCCTGCTACAAGTGTGGCAAAGGGGCCGAGAGAAAATTCTTGTCACTGTGGTTTGCTGGCCTTGTGACTCAGCTTACCTCATTCCCACAGGGAAGTGGGCAGCACAGCTTCCAACCTGGATTCAGAACCCAGACCTACAACTCTGGCTATGACTCCATGCTCCCAGGTCTCAGTTTCCCAATCTGTGATCTGGGGATGCTTAATACCTCCTCTAGGGAGTTGTGAGGTTTACAGAATGTGAGCCAAGTCTATCTGTGAAGACTCTTTTTTTTTTTTTGAAACAGAGTCTCACTCTGTCACCCAGGCTGGAGTGCAGCGGTGTCATCTTGGCTCACTGCAAGCTCTGCCTCCTGGGTTCATGCCATGCTCCTGCCTCAGCCTCCCGAGTAGCTGGGACTACAGCTGGGACGCCACCACGCCTGGCTAATTTTTTGTATTTTTAGTAGAGATGGGGTTTTACCATGTTAGCCAGGATGGTCTTGATCTCCTGACCTGGTGATCTGTCCGCCTCAGCCTCCCAAAGTGCTGGGATTACAGGCGTGAGCCACCACACCTGGCCCCTGTGAAGACTCTTTAACCAGGAGCAACCAGTTTCATAAATGGATGAGTCTAGAAATGCCTCTTATTCTACCCCAGTCCCTAAAGCTCCCAGTTAGGAAGGCACAGGGTGGCTTCATTTGTGATCCTCTGGTGGGTTAGGAATTGTGTCTCAGGGCCCTGGGAGTTTAGGGGTGAAGACACAAGTGAGAATGAATTGGCCCCAGTGACCTGGTGTCAGGCCAGGTGAGAGGCCCGGGTGACCTCTGGGCAGGGACATGGCCGACAGACTTCATGGACAGCAGCACCTGGTGAAGCTCGGATTTTGTTTTTTTGCGCAAGGATTCCCCCATGTTATCAAAGGCTCAGTCAAGTCTCAAAATACATGCAGCCCAGTGTGAGCCACACTGTGGTGGCAGGGATGGGTCTGGGGCCTAGCTTCATTGGCCATTGAGACACAGTGGTAGAGTGGTCAGAACAGGCAGCTGCTGATGCTGAATGGGGAAGCCAGAGTGCCCCTCAAGCCAGGGAATTTTTAGATGCCCAGAAAGAAGTCTAGTCTGTCTGCAGGAAGGAGCTGCTCAAACGACCATTAGTGGAAACTGGGTGATATGGTTTAGCTGTGTCCCCACCCCAATCTCATCTTGAACTGTACTCCCATAAATCCCATGTGTTGTGGGAGGGACCCAGTGGGAGATAACCGAATCTTGGGGGTGGTTTCCCCCATACTGTTCTCAGGGTAGTGAATACGTCTCCTGAGAGCTGATGGTTTTATAAGGGGAAACCCCTTTCACTTGGTTCTCATTCTCTCTTGCCTGCCACCATGGAAGACGTGCCTTTTGCCTTCTGTCATGATTGTGAGGCCTCCCCAGCCATGTGAAATTGAGTCCATTAAACCTCTTTTTCTTTATAAATTACCCAATCTTGGGTATGTCTTTATCAGCACTGTGAAAACGGACTAATACACTGGGTTACACTTGGGAAGCACTTGGCACTTGATAAATGGTAGCCAACAACATAATAACTAGAAACCAGAGATTTTTTTCTCAGGGTCCCCTGACATTGCAAAGGTTTTTACTGGCTGAAGTTGGCTTGTGCTTGTAGTTACAGCTTATTCCTGCCCACTGCCAACCCCTCTTTGCCCTTCCCCCTGTGGGGCACGTCTCCCACTATTTCTCATATCTACCTGGGCTAGGGCTACAACTACTGGCTTCAGACCTGGGTTTGAGTCCTGCTTTGCTATGTTTCAGTGGTGTGACCCTGGAATGTCTGTAAGCCTCAGTGACCTTGTCTGCACAATGGGGACAGTAATGTCTGTAAAAGGCTTAGGGCAGGCTGGGTGCGGTGGCTCATGCCTGTAACCCCAGCACTTTGGGAGGCCAAGGTGGGCAGATCACCTGAGGTCAGGAGTTCGAGAACAGCCTGACTAACATGACGAAACCTCATCTCTATTAAAAATACCAAAAAAAAAAACCAACCAAACAAACAAAAAAAATTAGCTGGGCGTGGTGGGGGGGCACCTGTAATCCCAGCTATTAGACAGGCTGAGGCAGGAGAATCGCTTAAACCTGAGAGGCAGAGGCTGCAGTGAGCCAACATCATGCCATTGCACTCCAGCCTGGGAGACAAGAGTGAAACTCCATCTCAAAAATATAAATAAATAAATAAAAGGCTTAGGGCAGAGCTGGGCATAGCGTGAGTGTCCACATGGGAAGCTATTAACTCCCTAGGATAGCATGTGGCAGCTGAGCGAGGTTCTTTCAAGTCTAAAAAAACTCAAGCTGTTTGGGCGCAGTGGCTCACGCCTGTAATCCCAGCACTCTGGGAGGCCAAGGTAGGTCGATTGCTTGAGCTCAGGAGTTCAAAACCAGCCGGGACAACATGGTGAAATCTCGTTTCTACCAAAGATACAAAAAATTAGCTA